GCCTCCTGGGTTCAGGCAATTCTCCTGCCTCAGCCTCCCGAGTAGCTGGGATTACAGGCACGCACCACCATGCCCAGCTAATTTTTTGTATTTTTAGTAGAGAAGGGGTTTCACCGTGTTGACCAGGATGGTCTTGATCTCTTGACCTCGTGATCCACCCGCCTCGGCCTCCCAAAGTGCTGGGATTACAGGCGTGAGCCACCGCGCCCGGCCTATTTTCTTTTTTTTAAGAATATAGACGGTCTTGCTGTGTTGCCCAGGCTGGCCTCAATGGATCCTCCTGCCTCAGCCTCCTGAGATGCTGGGATTCCAGGCATGTGCTGCTGCACCCAGCCCAGATCCTATTTCGTTCCTGTGCCACTTCCTGCACTTGCCGTAGCTATTTGCTTTCTTAGGCATCAGACTCCTAGACCAGAATCTGACCAGAGGGTGGGACGAGACCTTCAGCAACAGCATAAAGTGCCCTGTGCTGAGGGTGCAGTTCCTCCCAGCTCTCCAGAGCATCTCACAGGCCCCGAGTCCTGCAGGCCCTCTCAACAAGGCACCCCACTTACCTTGGGTTTACTGCAGTGCGCGATCACTCGCAAGATTCTTCTCTTCAGATCTTCCAAGTTGGTCACACTGAGCCTGTTTAGCAACAAGGCACACTGAGGCTAGGACCCGGCACTCCCAACCCCCAGCCCCCCAGCCCTGGGCACAGCGCCAGGTGGGCTTACCTGGGAATGACATCCTTCCCCAGGACGAGTGACACGATGAAGCTCTGAGAGTATTCATGCAGAGCTTTGCTGAAATTCCAAACAGGGAGAGGACGTTAGCTTTACCATCACACTGCCCACAAGGACTTCAAGAGAGAAGTCAGTAACACTGCCAGATCACTGAGGGGTTAGTTTCACAGGCCTCAGCTCTGCTCTCTCTTCTCTAAAGGGAGGGGAAACACCAGTTACAGCAACTCACTGGCCAGATCCACTAAAGCCACAGTATCCGTTCAAGAGAGACCCCCGCAGCTAAAACCGCAGACTGGACACCAAGGCGGGCCAGGCCCATGCATCTGTCCTCTGACCCAGAAGCCCCGCTTGGAAGACTCCATCAAAGATGCACCAGCAAAAAATGAAGGGGCAGAACCAACAAGCGATTCACTGTGGCGGAACGTGCACCGGCACATTCTGGGAACCTCCAAATACCCATCCACAGAGCTGCCTTCAATCCACTAACAGCAACAAGTCACACAATCAATAGTGTGTCCCGCACAGCTGGGAGAAGGAGGAGCGCTGTGTGTGCTGCTGCGGGGCCATCTCAGGACACGGTGAAAGTTAACAGCCGCAGCAGAGGCAGACGAGCAGGTAGAGGAAGAGGGGAACACAAACATGCTTACTTCCAGCTATGGACACATGGAAATGTAGGTGAAAACCACGCACACTTCTACCTGTGGGGTGACAGAATGGCATTTCTGAGGGAACAAGGATGGAAATGAGATTTCTCTGAATGTACCCTGCTTTGTTGGATTGTCTTTGGAACTGATTTTTTTTTTTTTTTTTTTGTAAATAAAGTTTTATTTAAACACAGCCATGCTCATTTATGTATTTTCTTTTTTTTTTGAGACAGAGTCTCGCTCTGTCACTGAGGCTGGAGAGCAGTGGTTTGATCTTGGCTCACTGCAACCTCTGCCTCCCAGGTTAAAGCGATTCCCCTGCCTCAGTCTCCTGAGTAGCTGGGATTATAGGCACCTACCACCACTTGGCTAGTTTTTTGTATTTTAGTAGAGACGGGGTTTCACCATGTTGGCCAAGATGGTCTCGATCTCCTGACCTTGTCATCCATCTTCCCACCTTGGGCTCCCAAAGTAGGTGCCCAGCCTTTTTATTTATTTATTTATTTATTTTTGAGATGGAGTCTCACCCTGTCACCCAGGCTGGAGTGCAGTGGCACGATCTTGGCTCACTGCAACCTCCACCTCACAGGTTCAAGCGATTCTCCTGTCTCAGCTTCCTGAGTAGCTGGGACCATAGGTGCATGCTGCCACACCCAGCTAATTTTTTGTATTTTTAGTAGAGATGAGGTTTCAGTGTGTTTCCCTGGTTGGTCTCGAACTCCTAAGCTTAGGCAGTTCACCTGCATCAGCCTCCCAAAATGCTAGGATTTACAGGCGTGAGCCACCATGCCCGGCCTGACGTTTTATTTTACATCATCATAAAACAAAATTACGCAAAATAACAACAAAGCAATCCCTAAAATCTGAAGCCAAACAAAACGAACCTACTAGTGTATTAACCAAACAGAAGAATTATTTCAAGTGAATTGAGAAACAACAGGAATTTGGCTGTACAGCTCTACCAGGAATATATTCTCGCAAGAAAACCAACCACACGGAGACGGCAAACTCCTTTCAGTCATCCTAATGTTAGACGTTATGCTGCTATTACTATTCTGAAAGGGTGCTCTATGCAGCTCTACATCATATATTATAGGGGACGTGTAAGAAACGGGTTACTATTGGCAAAAACCAAATTTTTCAGATCAGAAGAAGACACAAAGAGTTTCAGTAAAAACAATACACAACCATATGGTACAGGTAAAAACCCTGATCGTTACTGTTTGTTTTTTTTGTTTTTGAGACAGAGTCTAGCTCTGTTGCCCAGGCTGAAGTGCAGTGGCAGGATCTCAGCTCGTTGCAACGTCTTCGTCCTGGGTTCAAGCAGTCCTACCACCTCAGCCTCCCTGGTGGCTGTAAGCCGAGATCATAGCTGTGACCACAAGCACACGCCACCACACCCAGCTAATTTTTGTAAGGAACGGGGTCTTGCTATGTTGCCCAGGCTGGTCTCGATCTTGTGGGCTCAAGTGTGCTCCTGCCTCGGCCTCCCGAAGTGCTGGGATTACAGGTGTGACCCACCATGCCAGCCTCCTGATCTTTAAACTGAAAGTATCGATGTACACTAAGGTTTCCTTTTCTCTTTGGTACAACAAAAGCCTTTCCTACCTCTTTCCAATGAAAAGCCTGGAAATTATGACCAGCCCTGTGGTAATGGGAACCACTAGTGCCCAGATTATAGTTCAGAAATACCATTTCCCACTAAAGGAACCAATATTCCTTGGAGAAATGGTTGATTCCCAATGTGGAACAGGAAAAAAAAAATACTTGCTCACTTCATGCCCAAAACTTGAGAACATTTTGTTGTACCAGAAAACAAGAAAATGAGACCAAGCACAGTGGCTCACACACCTTTAATCCCAGCACTTTGGGAGGCTGAGGCAGGAGGATCACTTGAGCCCAGGAGTTCGAGACCAGCCTGGGGCAACAGAGTAAGACCCCACTCCTTACAAAAATTAGCTGGGTATGGTGGTGTACACCTGTGGTCCCAGCTACTTGGGAGGCTGAGGCTAGAAGATCATTTGAGCCCAGGAGGCAAGAGGCTACAGTGAGCCATGACTGTGCTACTGCACTCCAGCCTGGGCAACAAAGCAAGACCCTGTGTCCAAAAAAAAAGCAAGAAAACAGACAAATGAAGCTTATTATTATTATTTTTGTTTTTGAGACGTAGTCTCGCCCTGTTGCCAGGCTGGAATGCAGTGGTACAATCTCGGCTCACTGCAAACTCCAGCTCCTTGGTTCAAGTGATCCTCATGCCTCAGCCGCCCAAGTAGGGATTGCAGGCACGCACCACCACATCCAGCTAATCTTGGATTTCTAGCAGAGATGGGGTTTCATCATGTTGGCCAGGATGGTCTTGATCTCCTACCTGTATGATATGCCTGCCTCAGCCTCCCAAAGTGCTGAAATTATAGGCATAAGCCAGCACACCCAGCCAATAATAACTACATTTAAAAAAATGTTTTTTTAAAGACAGTGTCTCACTCCGTCACCCAGGCTGGAGAGCGGTGGTACAGTCGGAGCTCACTGCAACCTCTGCCTCTTGGGGCTGAGGTGATCCTCCTACCTCAACCTCCTGAGTCAATGCGACTACAGGCCTGTGTGCCACTGTGCTCAGCTAATTTTTAAAATTTTGTATAGAGATGGAGCCAGGCACAGTGGCTCACGCCTGTAATCCCACCACTTTGGGAGGCCAAGGCGGACAGATCATTTGAGGTCAGGAGCTTGAAACCATCCTGGCCAACATGGTGAAAACCCATCTCTGCTAAAAATACAAAAACTAGCTGGGCATGGTGGCACGTGCCTGTAATCTCAGCTACCTGGGTGGCTGAGGCAGGAGAACTGCTTGAACTCAGAGGTGGAGGTTGTAGTGAACCGAGATAGCACCACTGCACTCTAGCCTGGGAAACAGAGTGAGACTCTGTCTCAAAAAACAAGTTTTTTGTAGAGATTGGGTCTTGCTATGTTGCCAGGCTTGGTCTTGTGTTTCTGGCTTCATATGATCCTTCCTCCTGGCCTCCCAAAGGGCTGGAATTAAAGGTGCGAGCCACCACGCCTGGCCTTTATTTCACTTTAAATTGTGGTATAATTTTCCTTTATAATAAAGGCAAAAGGTTACACACAACAATCAGTATGCTGAATCAGCAAAAAAAAATGTACTTTTCAAACTCAAAAATGTCTTTCAACATGGCCATTATGCATGTGTCCAAGCTCAGCACACTGTGGCTCTGGGCAATCGCCTGCAAGGCGCATGGATGTCGGCAACCTGCCCCCTCTGCTGGGGGTGTGTGAATGGGGGAGGCTGTGCATGCTTGTGGGGAGGGAGGGTATGAGAAAGCCCTACAACCTTCTGCTCAGTTTTGCTGTCAACCTAAAACTGCTCTAAAAAATAAAGTCTGTTTTAAAAAAAGACTCTTTTTTTTTTTTTTTTTCCAGTCGCCGTAGAGACTGTCAAAAATTGCCAACATTGGCTATGTTTCAAGTCGTCATGGCGGGGTATTGGGAAAAGTTTTCAATTAGCAATAATCATGCCTTGGATAAGAGGTTGAGGCAGGAGAATCGCCTAAACTCGGGAGGTGGATGTTGTAGGGAGCTGGGATCGCGCCATGGCACTCCAGACTCGGCGACAGAGCAACTCTTGTCTCACAAAACAAAACAAAAACCACAAACCTTTCTTGTGGATGAGAAATTGTAACTAAATGACGAATAAAAGATGAGTCTTGACCACATGACTTGTAAGCAGCAAGCTGTTGGAGCAGGAAAACAAAGGCTTACCTCCACAGCCCCCGGGGTGGGGCGAAGGCGTAGCACCTGACCTGCGGGTAGGCGGCTCTGAGCATGGTGGCCAGCAGGGCAGCCGCCCCGCCCCCGAGACTGTGGCCGACGATGACCAGCCGGTATTCCTAGAGGACAGACAGCAGAATGAGGTGAAGGGGAAAAACAACAAACAGCTCCAGAAAGGACAAGGAAAGAAACATTAAGATCTCACAGGAGCAACGCTGAAGGCTTGGCTCAAAATCCCATCATGGATGAGTCGTCGGTAAACGTATCTGGCAGCTTGAGAAATACCCTAAAAACACAGACAAAGAGGGTGGCCACGAATCCTCAGACAAGGCAGGCCCAGTGGAGACTCACGACGGGATAATGCTGTGCACTGATATGTGAGTCCTTCCGGAATCTGAGATGGCAGGATCTGCTGCCACGTCCGTTGTTCATGGCTGTCCTCCCAGCACCTTGTATAGGGCTTGGCATGAAGCAGGTGCCAGGTGTGGTGGCTCACGCCTGTAATTCCAGCACTTTGGGAGGCCAAGGCAGGAGGATCACTTGAGCCTAGGAGTTTGAGACAAGCCTGGGCAATATCATCTCTACGAAAAATAAAAATGTAAGACTAGCCTGGATCCTGTCTCTACTAAAAAAAACACCACCACAACAGGCTTGGTGGCGAGTGCCTGTAGTCACAGCTATTCAGGAGGCTGAGGTGGGAGGATCACTTGAGCCCAGGAAGTTGAGGCTGCAGTGAGTTATGACTGCACCACTGGGCAACAGAGCAAGACCCTGTCTCAAGAAAAAACAAAACAAAAAAATATCTTTCCACATATACCTTTCTGTGGCTTTTTCTGTAGCTACATAGTTTTGTGCTATGTGAACATATCACAGTTTACTTCAGGCAAGTCCCTATGGCTGGTCAGATTTAGGCTTTTAAAATGACATTTAAATAAAGTTCTAGAGCTGGACAAAGTGGCTCACATCTGCAATTCTAACTATTTGGGAGGCTGAGGCAGGAGGATCACTTGAGCCCAGGAGGTTGACACCAGCCTGTGCAACACAGCAAAACCCTGTTTCTCTAAAACAACAACAAAATCCATAAAGTTCCAAATCAAAGACACTTGATAAGCATCCGCTGTTCCTACAAAGTTAAAACTAGACCATTGGAAGTGAGTTTTAGGGTGGTCAGGTTTGGGTTTAGCTTCAAAAAATAAATAAAATTTTAAATTTTCTTTTGTTTTTCTCAAGATGAAGTCTTGCTCTGTCATCGAGACTGGGAGTGCAATGGCACTATCTCGGCTCACTGCAACCTCTGCCTCCTGGGCTCAAATGATTCTCCTGACTCAGCTTCCCGAGTAGCTGGGACTACAGGTTTGCATCACCACGCCCAGCTAATTTTTTGTATTTTTAGTTGAGATGGGGTTTCACCATGTTGGCCAGGCTGGTCTCGAACTCCTGACCTCGTGATCTGCCCACCTCGGCCTCCCAAAGTGCTAGGATTACAGGCGTGAGCCACCGAGCCCTGCAAATTTTCTAACATATACATTTGTCCTCTGAAACAGGCTTCTTGAAAATTAACCAGTTGGCTGGATGTGGTGGCTCATGCCTGTAATCCCAACATTTTGGGAGGCTGAGGCAGGAGGATCACTTGTGCCCAGGAGTTCAAGGTTACAGTGAACTATGGTTGAACCACTGGAATCTAGTCTGGGTGGCACAGTGAGATTCTGTTTCTGAGAAATAATCACAAAAAAATAATAATAAATATTCAAGAGAAAAAAAAAATGAAGTCATTCCTATATGCAGTTAAGCCCTCAAATTTTTTTTTTTTTTT